TGTTAAGACAGGATAATAAAAAGCCAAGTTAGATGGCCATTCATCAACAGTTTATTTAGTCAATTTCTCCTCTGATGGAAATACATTAGTTTCTGGTAGTGATGATAACTCTATTCGAATTTGGAATGTACAAACATCAAAGGAAATACTTCAATCAAATAGTAGCTATAAAGATTTGCTTGCCTAGTTTAACACACCTCTTCAGAATAACTCCTTATTGCCAAATTGTATGTATTATTAATTATTTTTAGTTAATCCTTATTGTACTATACTAGTAATCTGTTAGAATCCTTGGTTAGAAGCATCAGGAACACTTATCTTATAAGGACAATTCATTAATTATTAAGGGATAGATTTAAAACCATTGTTTAAATCCAAAGGAAGTTGCATTTTAGAAGACATAAAACAAAAGCAAAAATTAATTTGATATTCATTAAAAACATTACAATTATAATTTTAATCATTTTCTTATAACTTTTTGCATAATATGTGTTTTTTATTACTATTTAAATATTTGGATAATATTGAGATGTTAGAAACAACGTTTATAAATTAATATTTATAGACGTATACACTATTATATTTATAATATAAACAGAGTAAACAAGTTTATTCGTAATAAAGATTATTAATAGTTTAATAAAATTTAGATTTTAGTTTATAAAAAGGTAAAGGTACAATTGATAACAAAGATAAGAAGAAAGATACATTTCAAAAATTAAAAAAATAATCTTAATCTTAGAAATAATCTTAAATGAAACAAAGTTAAAACATCAGGATTGAATGATTTTAAAAATTACTCTACTCTAATCTTGGTAATATTTTCATAGCCTGTTATTTATCATTTTCAATTGATATTAAAAGTAAAGGACTGAAAAGATATATTAATCATCAATAAATATTCCAACCCCGAGATCATAATTATATCCATCCCTAAATAAGCTCTATATGAATTACATCCAAAGTAGCTACTTTCAATAATAATTTTGCATATAAGGAACAGTTATTAATCATTAAGATAAGAACTATGTAATCTTACCTTAAAGAGATATTTTTAGAAATTAATCAATATATCTACACAACGATAATATCAGTCAACTAGTTCAATTTTTAGTAATTGATTATGAAATTAAGAAATTACCCACATTGGATATTCATAAACATTATGGATAATGTTAAAAAAATAACAAAATTGTTCTTCTCTATAACTTTGATTTTAACTCAATTAGACAATAAATTTTTAGAATTAACTAAATTTATTTATTATCTCTTAAAAAGTTTTAAGCTCATATACTAGTGAATTTAATACCAAATTGGCAAGTTTCTTGTAAAAATTTGTCTATAGAAGTAACTTCTTTGTATTGATATTTTTGAAAAATTATGATTTAGAATAAATAGATTACTTTAACTGAAAAAATTTCTAAATATTTAAAGTAATATATATTAAAGTTTTGAATTATTTGTGTTATTTTTATTCTATATTCTTTAAGAATCCAATAATGCATAAATCTATGTAAGTATTCTCTAGTATAATTTACATCTACCATAAATCTTTGTGATTTTGATGTTTCTTCCAAACAAAAATGTGAAAGATACATTTTTGATTCATAGTATAAAACTCAAAATAAAGTAATAGAAATTCAATAATTTTTTAAAAAAAAGGTAATGCACCACAAAAAAGAGTAAGTAGAAGTGTTGTATGAGGTTTTGTCCTTATCCAATGAGGTTGATGAAGTATTCCTCCCTATCCTGATAAACACATTGAAAAAAGAGAGAACTTAAGATTGCCTAGAATTTCTCTCATAAGATCAAAACAAATTTCTTTTTGAAATAGAAAGGGAAAAGGTAGAAAACTAATCTCTACCTAATAAAGAATAGACTCTAAATGGAGAGAAGAACATTATGAGAATAATCAATGTTCTCAAAAAAGTTAGGGATCATGACTTTAATACACAGAATTATTCAATAGATGATTATGAAGAATTTTAAAAGGATCTATTCACAAAAATATCATTGGATAAGAAGATAATAGAATTCCTAAAATTTTTAGTTCATCTGACTGCTTTAGATGAGACATATATTTAGTGTGGATCAAATTCTCTTCATTTGCTAGTTTAAATGAAAGTGGATTTGAGGGAATAAAATTTTGAGAATATCAGGATCAGAAACACCTCTTTAGTTGGTGGAATTTTTGCAAGATGCATATTCAATGGATCAGAATTTGACAATGTAGATATTAGTGGAAACATTAATATGTAGTTACTTCAATTTGTTACTCTCCTGATGGTACTACATTAGCATCTGGTAGTTGGGATAAGTCTATCCGTTTATGGGATGTTAAGACAGGATAATAAAAAGCCCAATTAGATGGTCATTTTGGAACTGTTAATTCAATTTGTTACTCTCCTGATGGTACTACATTAGCATCTGGTAGTCACGATAACTCTATCCGTTTATGGGATGTTAAGACAGGATAATAAAAATCCAAATTAGATGGTCATTCATCAACAGTTTATTCAGTCAATTTCTCTCCTGATGGAAATACATTAGCCTCTGGTAGTGATGATAACTCTATTCGTCTTTGGAATGTAAAAACATCAAAAGAAATACTCCAATCAGATAGTAGCTATAAAGATTTGCTTGCCCAGTTTAACATACCTCTTTACAATAGCTCCTTATTGCCAAATGGTATTTATTATTCATTATTATTTAGTTAATCCTGATCGTACAATACTTAGAATATGTTAGAATCCTTTATTTGAAGCATCAGGAACACTTATCCTTTAAGGACAGTTAATTAATCATTAAGGGAAAGATTTAAAACCTTTGTTTAAATCCAAAGGAAGTTGCTTTTTAGAAGACTTAAAGCAAAAAAAGTGAATTTGAATATTCATTAACAACATTACAATTATAGTTTTAATCATTTTCTTATAAATTTTTTGAATAATATGTGTTTTTTGTTACTCTTTAAATATTTTGGATAATATTGAGATGTTAGAAACAACGTTTATAAATTAATATTTATAGACGTATATATTATTAAATTTATAATATAAACAGAGTAAACAGGTTTAGTCCAAATAATGATTCCTAATAGTTTAGTATATTTTAGATTTTCAGTTTTTAATAAAGATAATGATACATTTAAGAACAAAGATAAGAAAAAAGATAAATTTCAAAAATTACAAAAATATTGATAACAAAGTTAAAACATTGGGATTGAATGATTTTTAAAATTACTATTTTCTTAACATATTGTTTATTATTTTCAATTGATATTAATAGTATTAGATAGAATAAAGTATTGAAAAGATATATTAATCATCAATAAGTATTCTAACCCTAAAAGGATTTAGATCATTATTTATCCATTCCTAACAAACATCTAATCATCTTAAATAAGCATTATGTGAATTACATCGAAAAGCTACTTTCCACTATAATTTTGCATATATATAATGAACAGTTATTAACCACTCAGGTAGGAACTATAAAATTACAAAATTACCCAAGATTGGATTTCATAAACATAATTGAGAATATTAAAAAATAACAAAATT